GAGAAAGAGAACGAGAGAGAGTAGATGATATGGCCATATATACTTGCGTAAACCAGACTAAGTAAAGGAAGTTCGACCGGAGTATAGCCCGACCTAAAACAAGTCGACTGAAGAAAGACACTTAAAGAGCATGACGACCTCGAACTAATGCGACTCAGTGAACCATCGTAGCTTGAGGTAAACATTAGATGACTTGAGAACCCCGATGACGATCTAATCCTCGAAGGATATCCTAACCTGATCCTCATAAGGTAGCCTAAGTCGACCTCTCATTTAATCTCGACCTGGTCTATTTCACCACTCGAGGTAGATTGTGGATTGGGTAGTCTCAGATTAAATGACGGCCTAAGATCATGTAATTATAAAGGATAAGAGAGAATCTTAAAGGGATAAAGAGGAATCTTAAAATGACTAAGATCTGACTAAGAAATGATTAGGATGTGGATAAGCACTACATCTAGGCACCCGGGCAGAGCATTTCAGGTAGATATTTTCCTATAAAAGGACTGAGGTATCACCAAACCCTGACTTTTACATTCTTCATACATTATATACTGCTCTTATTTACAGAGCACCACCATCGTTCTGATATTGACTTAAGCATAAGAGACTTTTCGCCGAAAACATCTCCGACGTAGAGTTTTTGCAGGTAGACGCGCGACGGTCTAAGCAGATCAGAACTCATTTTAACCGGTCCTATCCAGATTCGGGTGGTGACTCATCATACTTCATTTTGATCATCATACTAAATTATGTTTAAGTAGTTTATATCAGATAATGAACGAGAGAAAAGGAAAGGAAAGATTGTATTGAACGAGAGAGAAGGAAAAATGAATGTGTACAAAAGTGACGATTAGGGTTTACATAGACCTATTTATACTAATGCTAAAATGACAATATATGAAAGAGTTGTTACATATCAAATGACAACTTTAACTATACTAAATGGAGTACAATAAATGATGTACATGGTACAACTCCTATTACCCCCCCGCAAGAGGAGCATGTATATTGTGCATGTTCATCTTGGAAATAATGTGATGGAATGTTGGTCCTGGTAGTGCTTTGGTGAGACAGTCTGCCAGTTGCTCTTTTGTACTGATGTGATGAAGTTTGATGAGACCTTGTGTAATCTTCTCTCTAATAAGATGGCAATCCAACTCTATATGCTTGGTTCTTTCATGGAAAACAGGGTTACAAGCCATTGCTAAAGCTGATTTGCTATCTGTAAACAGAGAGACAGGTAAAGTTAAAGATATACCAAGTTCATTGCTCAAGTTTATAATCCATTGAATCTCACAGGAGGCTGTAGCCATAGCCCTGTACTCTGCTTCTGCAGAGGATCGACTGATTGTTGGTTGTTTCTTGGATTTCCATGAAATTAAGGAATTTCCAAGAAACACACAATAACCAGTAACACTTCTTCTTGTATCAACACAAGAAGCCCAATCACTATCAGAGTAAACATTTAAATTTAAAGAGGAGTTTCTGTGAAAGATAATACCTTGTCCAATAGTGCCTTTGACATACCTCAATACCCTGTGTGCTGCTGCCATGTGTTGCTCAGATGGTGATGACATGAATTGACTAAGAGTTTGAACAGAAAATGCAATATCTGGTCTACTAATTGTAAGGTAAAGCATTCTGCCTACCAATCTCCTATACTCAGATGGATCAGATAGTGGAACAAAACCAGCAGTTTCAGTATTATGAGATAACCTAACATTAGAGTCCATAGGGGTGGATGCAGGTTTACATGCTAACATGCCAGTGTCAGTTAAAATATCCAAGGCATATTTTCTTTGAGACATGTGAATCCCTGTTTCAGAGTGAGCAAATTCCAATCCAAGGATGTATTTTAACTGACCCAAGTCTTTAATAGTGAAGCATTTATCAAGGTGAGATTTTATGGATTCAATACTATGCAAATCATTACCTGTTAGGATGATATCATCTACATAAACCAATAAAATTGTAAATGACCCATTGGCAGACATGTAGAACATGGAGCAATCAGCAATAGATTGAGAGAAACCATAGGATAAAAGGCAAGAAGTTAACTTGTGAAACCACTGTCTTGAAGCCTGTTTAAGGCCATAAAGACTTTTATTTAATTTGCAAACTCTAGTATCATTAGCATCACAATAACCTGGGGGTGGAAGCATATAAACTTCTTCAAATAAGTCACCATGCAAGAATGCATTGTTGACATCAAGTTGATGAATGAACCAGTTATTAATGGATGCCAATGCAATGATAAATCTGACTGTGTTTATTTTAGCAACAGGTGAAAAAGTGTCAAAGTAGTCTATACCCTCTTCTTGGGTATAGCCTTTTGCAACTAATCTAGCTTTATACCTTTCAATAGACCCATCAGACTTGTACTTAATTTTATAAACCCATTTGCATCCAATGCAATGTTTATTTGGAGGAAGTTCTGTTAAAGTCCAAGTGTTGGTCTTTTGAAGGGCATTTAGCTCTTTTTGCATAGCTTCCTGCCAAGATGGGTCCTTGGCAGCTTGCTTATAAGTTTTAGGTTCAGATGCAAATGAGATAGAAGTTGTAAAACATCTATGTGATGCAGACAAGTTATCAACAGAAAGATAAGCAGACACAGGATATTTAGATGTCCCAGGGATATTGAAAAGTGTAGAAATAGTGGTATTAGAAGAGTGTCTGTTTGGTAATGAATGTTGATAAACTTCTAGATAAGCAGGGGCTTTGGTTTGTCTAGTTGATCTCCTTGGTTGTGAAGTACCAAAAGGTTGAGGTGTAGGTATTATTGATGGTGAATAGGGAATAATGTCTGTGCTGGTTGAGGCAGGGGTTATTTGTTGAGGCATAGGGGGATTAACAGAAGGTGCAGGTGGGACAAGGTTAGGTAATATATCACAGCTTGGCTCAGGTAAAGGAAACAAGGGGAAATCAGGAATTTCTGAAGGGGTAAAGTCATCTGAAACAGGTAAATCTTTAAATGGGAAAATACTTTCATAGAACACAACATCCCTGGATATTAATATTTTCTTGGTATCCAAGTTGTAAAGCTTGTAACCTTTACAACCTAAGGGATAGCCAAGAAGTATGCACTTAGATGCTCTATGATCAAATTTGGTTCTATGAGATGACAAAGTAGATGCATAACATAGACAACCCGGAACTCTTAAATGATCATATGTAGGCTGTTTGTTATAGAGCATTTCAAAAGGAGATTTGTTATTCAAAATACTTGATGGAACTCTGTTTATTATATGCACAGCAGTAAGAATGCAGTCCATCCAGAAAGGTAAAGGCATATGAGCATGAAACATGAGTGCCCTAGCCACTTGTAAAATATGTTGGTGTTTTCTTTCCACCCTAGCATTTTGTTGAGGTGTTTCAACACAAGATTTTTGATGAATAATGCCATACTGAGAATAAAATTGACTAAGAATAAATTCTGAGCCATTATCAGTCCTGATTGACTTGATTTTCTTGTTAAATTGAGTATGGATCATATTGTAAAAGTGTAGTAAACTTTCCTTTGTTTCTGATTTATGCACTAGAGGATAAACCCAAGTTACTCTGGTAAAGTCATCAACAATAGTTAAGAAATATCTTTGAGATGAGTATGATAAGACAGAAAATGGACCCCAAATATCACAGTGTATAAGATCAAATGCATTGTCAGATTTGGACTCACTAATAGGAAATGGTAGTCTTTTCTGTCTAGAAAAATGGCAAACATCACAAGGAACTATAGAGGATTTGTCATTATCACATTGAATAGGTAAAACATGTAGTTTAGAGAAGGACAGATGTCCTAATCTGTTGTGCCATACACAAGTATCTGTTGTTGATGCATTTACATGTAAAGAAGAGTTTACAACTTCAGTATTATCAGAGGGACAAGTGCCAAGTGAATCAGAAACAGGTGATGGACAAATATGTTTCTCAGGGGTTAACAAACTATGGTGAGATGCAGACAATTTGAGAAGATATAAGCCATCAATAAGATCAGCAAAACCAATCATTTTGTGGTTTGCAAGGTCCTGTAAAATACAAGATGATGCCAGGAATTTCAATATGCAATTATTTGTTGCAGCAAGTTTAGAGACAGATATGAGATTAAACTGAAATGAAGGCACATAAAGAGCATCATATAGCACTAAATTTTCTGATAAATTCACTTGCCCTATTTGTAATGCAGTAGTATGATGACCATTTGGCAAAGTAATTTGAGCACATATAGACTTGGCAGGCATAGAATAAAAAGTATTTGAACAAATCATATGATCTGTGGCACCAGTGTCAAGAATCCATGTAGTTTTGTTCAGTTTTAAAGATGCTATGCAAGCCAAGGGTTTAGAGATACCTGTAGCATTAGCCAAAGCAGTTGCAACCACAGGGGTGGATGAAGAAGTGTGCTTCATCTCCTGTGATTTCTTAAAGGCTAAAAATTCACTCAACAAACTGTCAGTCATGGAAGATGCATTCACAGTAACAGTACTGTCAGTTTGACCAACATTCTCAGATATAACAGCATGAGCAGAATGAGAAACATTATTTCTAGGGCCTTTAGGACCAATCCAGTTATCAGGATACCCAATCAATTGATAACATCTATCAGAAGAATGACCAGTATAACCACAATGTGAACATTTGAACTTCTTCTTATCCTTTGTGAAATTATTGAAGTTCTGTTTGAAGTTCTTTTGTGGCTGAGAAGGGAAGTTGGTTTTAGCTGCCATGGCAAGGGAATCAATGGTTTTGGAATTGTTGGACAAAGTTCTCTGGCTCTCTTCTTGAAGTAGTAGGGAATACACAGTAGAAAGAGAAGGCAGGGGAGTAGAAAGAAGGAAGTGGCTTCGAAGTGAAGAATAAGAGTCATTTAACCCAATCAAAAATTTCATCACTGAGTCATTCTGTTGAGCAGTGGTCATTGCTTCAAATATCTTACAAGTACAGGTATTAAAAGCACCACAAACACACTTCACAATCGGGCGATATGTGAGATATTCATCCCAAAGAGACTTGAACGAGTTATAGTACTGAGTTACAGATAAATTGCCCTGGTCAATAGTATTCAAGGATTTTTCAAGCTGAAACACACGAGGACCACTAGATAGAGCATATCTGGACTTAATCTCATCCCATACATCTTGAGCAACAGAGAAGAAAAGCAAAGATTGACGAATGTCTTTATGAACCGAATTTAAAAGCCAAGACAATACCAGATTATTCGCTCTAACCCAAGCAAGAGACAGGGAAGGATTTTGAGTAGGGTTAGGGGCAGAAACAGTACCATCAACAAACCCTAGTTTGTTTTTGACACTCAACGCCATAGTAATCGCTCTCGACCAGGAGACGTAGTTGTCGCCATTGAAAGTCTCGGCAACAATCAGTGCACCAGGATTGTCTCCGGCGTGTAAATAGAACGGCGAAGTCGGATCGTCGGAGGGATTGGTAGTGGTAGCCATATCAATCAACAGCAAAAATCAACAACAGCGCGAATGGAATCGCAAGATCTAGAAACGAGAAACAGAATCGCAGCGGAAAAACATAAGAATTTCAGGATCAAAACCTGGCTCTGATACCATATCAGATAATGAACGAGAGAAAAGGAAAGGAAAGATTGTATTGAACGAGAGAGAAGGAAAAATGAATGTGTACAAAAGTGACGATTAGGGTTTACATAGACCTATTTATACTAATGCTAAAATGACAATATATGAAAGAGTTGTTACATATCAAATGACAACTTTAACTATACTAAATGGAGTACAATAAATGATGTACATGGTACAACTCCTATTAGTTTAATCCTTTTCACGTTTGGCTTGGTATTGTTGTACTTAATAAAGTTGTGCTTTTACAACTATAAACGTTAATATTTAATAAATCATTATGAATTATATGTCTAAACCTTTCAAATCTATTTTAACATTAATAACAATATGTTTAAACTTTAAATACTATTGAATATATATAAATTATTATAATATCTTCAAGTAACTGTATGTGTGTCTTTAATTTATCCAAATTTTCATATTTTTATGCATAAAATTTGTTATTTAATTCTATATAATAATATTTTAAAAAATGAATAAACTAATTAATAGCTGTTTATGGACCACTCGTAAACATTTGACTCGTATCTTTTTTATTTTGTTAAAGTTGCAATCTAAGGGAGGATCATCCATTTTTATGTTTATCTTAAATTAATAATATCTATTAAATTTATAAAAGTAAAATCTGACTTTGCCACATGCGACGCCACGTGTTACAATTTGAGGTGCATGCTCTGGAGAAGATGACACCTTTCCTTAGTCGTGGGCTTATATTATCTCCGTCCTCTATAAGTGCAAGATCATCGAATCTATAATATACACTGTGGAGTGTAAGAAGAAAGATATATCGATTAAATAGTACAACATATCATATAGAATTAAGATTCAGAAATGGGTTCAGAAACATTTCTCGAAGTGATTCTCGCCATACTGCTGCCGCCTGTTGGTGTTTTTCTCAGATATGGTTGTGGAGTAAGTAATCAATCATTATCTGTCTAATTTTATCTAATCAATATTGAAACCTGCATAAGCAAAATTAGTCTTTTTCTTTATCTTGTAAAAATAATTTGGAAATTTTCAAATTTATGTTTTGCTGGTCAATTGGGTGGAACAATATTTCAGTCAAACTAAGCTACAAAACTGAAATTTAAGTACAATTTATGTAAGAGTTCAAACTGTAGGAAAGGCATACTCAAATAGTTTTATTTTTAATTAATTATTCGTTGAAATGGATGATATATCAGGTGGAGTTCTGGATTGATTTGCTGCTGACAGTGTTGGGATACATACCAGGGATCATATACGCGTTATACGTGCTGGTCGTATAATAAGGCCATACTGTTTTCTCAAACTTAATTTCTTTCTGTTAATGTACTTACTTTTTTGCCTTGATTAATCCATGGGAATGGTTGCGAGTTGCGACTTTCGCTCGTTTGTTCTCACTGTTGATCNAGCCTTACTAAGAGCATCTTCAATGCAATTTTTGACATTATAAAAAGTTTTCTATATCATCAATTTTTGAAAGTGTGTCTCTATTTTTTTCTCCAATTCATCTTGTCATGAACTCTTTTATGATGAGGTGGATGTCATTTAATTTAATGTTGACAATGTTGAGCACACTTTCTAATATCTAACACCATGTTAAACATGATGATTCATCAATTTACTTTATATTTGTTTTAGTTTTTTATTTTTTTTTTATATCAATGAATTATTTAATTGGTCGACCTATACAAATAACTTCTTATCGAATTGATGCATTGGAGATATTAGTTTCATTGAAATTTCTAGTCTTTTAACATTATTTCAATGTGGATTAACATTACAATCATTAATTGACATGTGTTAAAAATAATGGTCTTTCACACTTATAACATTGGAGATGTTATAAGTATTAGTAATAATATTATATATATATATATGGATGGGGAGACCCAGACAATTTTTGCAAAACATTAATTAGCAATCAGGCTTTTTTTTTCTTTTTAATCGGCAAGTTAAAGATCCTTTTGGTTTTAATTCAAAATTTTAATTTGAAAAGAACATTTTGATTTTATATTTTTATTTTTAATAGGTAAGTTAGAATCATTTTGTGTTTAATTTAAAATTTTACTTTTGAAAAGAACCTTTTGACTTTACCAAAAAAATCTAATTCAACAATGACAAATTAATTAAATAAATAAATAAATTTTACTTTGAAAAGAACCTTTTACTTTACCAAAAAATTCTAATTCAATGACAAATTAATTAAATAAATAAATACTTAGAAAATAAATGATTTTTCATGTTTTTCCTTAGATCTTAGAATTAATGAATTACCTCTATGTCTAAAGAAACTATCATATCATGTCACTGTAAATAATATTTATTCTCATACCACTTCTGTAAATAATATTTATTCTCATACCATAAAGAAACTATCATATCATATCACTGTAAATAATATTTATTCTCATACCACTTCTGTAAATAATATTTATTCTCATACCATAAAGAAACTATCATATCATATCACTGTAAATAATATTTATTCTCATAAAGAAACAAGTGAAATAATTTAGAACCTCAAATTATTCCACACAAATTTTTATATTTAACTATTTAATTTTGCTATGGAGCCACTCGACTTATGGAGCCATCCATATTTATTCACTAATAGTGTATTGACACGTGTCCTTTAATAAATACAATCAATTGAATAAATGTCAATACATTAAATAGTTGATGGTTTCATAAAAAAAATCATTTGATGGCTCCATAAAATTTTTGTTAGCTATTAGTCATTTCATTAATTAGGCTTCTTATATTTGTGTAAATTAATGGGTCAAGCCTAACAAAACTGTATAATATTGAAAAACATGTGGCCTCAAAATAATGGAAGCCTTGGGCATGGGCCTTGTTTGCCAGCCTAAAAAATTGGGCCTGTGGATGTGGATTGGTTCATGTGAATGATATTGAGTAAAAGAAATAAGAGGAATTTACACTCTCCACTTAAACAATTTCAAAATATTATATAATTACACTCCCCATGTAATTATTTGTAAATTAGCTAATTTTGTTAATTTTATTTGCACATATGCCTAAAAAGATGATTCTCTATTTTATATGGTAACTTTCCATCAACTGATTTCCTATTAAATGGTAATTTTCCATCAACTACGTCTCTCTCCTATCCCTCTCTCTCTTCTTCACACACGACCCTATCCCTCCTTTCTTCACACAAGTCCCTCCACCGTCGGCGCCGGTCCTCACCGTCCGCGCCAATAGCATCAATCGAAGCAGTCGACTTCTCTGATCCCCCTTCCAAGACAAATAGCATCAATCGAACCCGTCGTTTCGACCACTACAAAAATAATCATTTTTAGTGGCGATAATTTTTGTCGCTATTTGTTAAAATGTCGTCACTAAAAATACCGTTGCTAATATTGTCACTATATGTTCGAATGTCGTCACAATAATCATTTTATAGTCATGACATTAATGTCGTCACTAAAAATAGTGTCGCTAATAATGATTATTCTTGTAGTGGACTGAATCAGTCGACTCCTCCAATCCCCCTTCACACAAGTCAGCCACCTCCTCCAATCCTCCTTCCGCCGCCGCATCGGCCTCCGTCTCGCTCAAGCACCGTCTCGCTCAAACATCCGCGACGAGAGATGCATCTCGCTCAAATTTTCACTTGTGATTCGTCGATGGGGTACTCTTCAAGATTGTCTTGGCTTTTCGAGGCCGTCGTGTTGGTCTCCACGCTCTGCGCCTTCTTCCCTTTCTGCTGTTGCCATTTCTAATATATATTTTTAATTTATTTTTTCTGAGTATATATGCAGAATATATGCAGTATATGTATAGTATATGACCCGCGTCCCTGCCAAAAAATAAGCTTATGTTTAGTATATTAGCAAATTTTTTTGTTGACGAATGTTTGTTTCGGTCGGATTGATTTTCTTCAGTATATTATTAGTCTTTTGGGAGGAATGAGAATTGCTTATTTGTATCATTTTGTTTGTGTTCAGCTGATTTTTTGAGTCTATACTTTGTAGTTTTTTCTTATTTTTATTGTTCAATGAAAATTGTATGGTTTATTTCCAGTATATTTTTAGTCATGTTTCACTGTTTTCTATTTTTTTTTCTCATGACATTAATAGGAAGACGTTCGATAGTATGTAATAGTTAAAAATTTTCGGTATATTATCAATATCTTTTCGGCATATTTTCTCATGGCATTAACAGGAAGACGTTCGACGGTATATTATCAGTATATTCTCGGTATATTTTCTCATGACATTAACAGGAAGACGTTCGACGGGTATATGTACAGTATATTTGCAGTATATGTTAAAGCAATATATATAGGCGATGAAGATTTCGTGAAATTTCGTACTCTTTGCCTGATTTCCTGAAATTACGCGCTAGGAACATGGAAGGTTGTTCCACTTACCTTGTAACTGATTTTAGGCATGATTATAATTAATATTTATCTTTTAGGTATATACACAATTTAATTGGTATGGATAGTAATATTAAAATTATCTAAAAATCAGTAAGTATACATGAAAATTTCTCAAGAAATAAAAATACATCCTAATCCAATTGATTAAAAAAAAAAACCAAAATTTTACACTACTAGAAAGGGACTTTCTCTCCCATTCACATTCATGCGAGACCCACCACACACCAACTTCTCTCTCACATCACACGCGTGGCCCCCACCTCCACTTCTCTCCCCCCTTCCTCGTCTTCACCCAGATCTGTGCAACTCAAAAATAAAAAATCTCCAACACCTCCTCATCTTCCACGTCGCGCCTAACCAATCATCAACGACGACAGCCATATCAGCGGCACCGACTACGCAACATGCTCCGATAGTGCGTGTGTGTATGCTTTTTGAATGTGTGTGTGTGTGTGAGAGAGAGAGAGAGAGAGATTAGGGTTGGTTGGGTGGGGTGGGGCTCACGTGCACGTGCACGTTAGATGAGTGTGTAATGTTCATTTTTCCCTAAATGATCAAATGTATATATTTGACCAATGGTTCTAAAAATCGGACCAAACCGTCCAGTTCAACCGGTTAAACCGCGAACCAGTTAGCACACCAGCCCGGTTTGAGGTACGTAACCACTAACACCCAAAACCAGTGACAAACCGCCTAAACTAGAAAAACCAGTGAACCGCTAACGCATTCGCGCGGTCGAACGACTGCTTCTTGCAGCTTTGATAATGGAATCCAAAGTCATAGTTTAAATAGCAGTCTCCTTTTTTATGTGTTTTCGATGTGGGATTCCTTACCATGTGGTACATAAAGATCTGAAAAGCTGAATTGGACTGGATTTGAGGCCCACCACAATAGATAAAATAGGTGAGTTATGTAAATGTTGGGCCAGGTGACTTGTAGCATTATTGTGATAAAAATCTCATCTTTTCATTATGTTTGGCCCGTGACTAGTAGCATTATTGTGATAAAAAATTCCATTCTATATATATTCCATTCTTTTCATTACGTTCGTATATTAAATTGAAACACAATAATGTATAAATTGTAATACATATATTCTTTTCATCTATTTGTTTATTAATTGGCCCGTGACATTTTTTTTATATTAGACTAAAATATATATAAAAAAAATATATCAACATTATGTAACATTGTGGGTTGTATCTATTATGAACTCTTATTTAGAGAAATTTCATTATACCTTATAAAATTAATGATAAAAATATATTTAATTATATATTATACATATAAAATAAATAAAAAATTATATATATATATTATTAAATTGGCTCGACCACTTATCCGACTAGTGAACCATTGAACCGGTAGCTTCATCGGTTCGATGACCGATTCGGTTTTCAAAACCTTGATTTGACCACGACTTATCCACTTATTTACAATATTGCCACCACATATTTGATTATTATTTACTAAAATTTGACTACATATATCTGACCAAGACATGTCCCCTTATTTAAGATATTGGCACTGCATATTTGATTATTAACTAACTTTTATTTAATTTTGGAAACTAACTATTATATTTTGTATTAACTAAGTGTAATACATATTATTCAACTATTAGAGCATCTCCAATGTTTAAATGTTATTGTCATAAATTACATTCTACATCAACACATTTAGTACTATCATAACTTTCCGTCCTCTAATGTACAATGTGATCACAAATGTTGTGGTGATGTTGACATAATTAATGTCTACAATGTTGAGAAGAATGTGGTGGTACAATGTGATCACAAATGTTGTGGTGATGTTGACATAATTAATGTCTACAATGTTGAGAAGAATGTGGTTCATCTACATTCTCCTCCATACTCTAGTTGCCAATGAAAAGAAAATAGAGAATTATTCTTACCATTTTTAAGCTATTTAATTATTTAACTAAATTTTTTAATTCATATTAAAATTTTAATATTGGGCAAGTAGATGATAATTTAATTAGACTACATTGTGCACTGGAGATGATTTTTTAATTTAATAGTTGTCAACTCAACATTTTTCCAACATGGTTTACAATTTATTTAATTTTTTGACATTTGTCAAAATTTATATATAACAACATTAGAGTATTGGAGATGCTCTTATATCATATAATAATTAGAACTAATATTAAATAATTATAAATTCACCCTAAAAGGTTCATGTATGATACACATCTATAAAAATTCTATAACAAAAGTTTTCTTGAGGTAATATATTTTAAAATTGATAGGGCCTTTTATTTTTATTCTTATTAAGAGATTTTTTTGAAATAGCTAATTGATTTTTATGGCAAATAAAAATCTCTTAGAATTGCATAAATAATAATAATAACAATAATAATAATAATAATAATAATAATAATAATTTTTTCAACTAATTCGTTGGTAAAAAAATATTTATATTTGTAAAATTATATTATTCATTATATTTTTATAAAATCTATATTGTGATTCATATATAAGTAAAAATATTTTTAACTATATTTTTCATTTTAATAATATTCAAATTTATTAACGTTTGTATGTTCATTATATAATTTATGAATTTAAATATAACATTTATGCATACGACTTAATATTTTTTTATTTGTATCAGTTCATATTCAAACAATTGAGTAATAGTTATTACCTACAAGTCTACAGCCGGTTTAGATTTTATCCACTTCAAGGGAAGTGAATCTGCCAATCGCGGTTAACATTAAAAAATAAAATAAAATTCAACCATTATACTTTTTCTAGTGAATCTAGATTTTCAAACTCTTTTGGTAATTAATTAATTAATGGTGATTTGATTTTTTTAATTTTAAAAATTTTGAAATTAAATTTTCAAATATAGTAATTTGTACGTACGAAAAGCAATATGATTGGTTTTCAACTAAAGTAGAAAATTCGAATTAAAATGTCCTTAAATTAATTAATTTACGGAACTATAAAATGTCCTTAAATCAAGACTTTTGAGAATTTCCATATATAATTTTATATGTACGAAAAAAAAAAAACTCAGCATTTGCTTCCCTATAAACTATATATGACGTTGAGTCCCATCTATGACATTCAATCCAATATAGCAAACAAAGTAGGTTGTACTAGTTTTTAATGTATACGAGAAAATGGGCAATCCTATTCCTACTACTATCATCCCATTGTTGTTCATTCTCATATGGGCTATCCATCTCCAAGCAATAATTATTCATGAAAAACGCCACTGTTTTTTCACTCGCAAATTCACAATCCATATCACCAATAAGCTTCCTCCGAAATCGGATCCTCTGGAGTTGCATTGCGCATCAAAAGACGATGACTTAGGTTTTCACACACTTTCTCCAAATCAAAGCTTTAGTTGGGGCTTCTGTGAGAATTTTGTCCCCAACACTTTATTCTTCTGTCATATTTGGTGGGAATCTAAAGACATCGGTTTCGAAAGTTTTAACTTTGAATTTCACGACGGATGTATACCTGATGGCTCCCAATGCTTCTGGGAAGTAAGGGTTGACGGTCTTTATAGACTCACTGATAGCAGCCGGAATAGATATGGAAAATGGCGTGATTGGAATAATACAAAGCTAGCATGATTAAACTATTTATTTATTCAGAGGATTAAGTAAAAATTGTTGTCTGTCATATATGAATTAATGTTTGCCTTGAATCATGTAATTTTAATGGGATCATGGTGCTGGTCTTGGATCTAGCTTAGATTAATGTGTATTATTTTTATATCTTGTGCAATCATCCCCATTCATGTTTTGATTACGCTTCTCGTGGCAAATTAAAATTAAGAGTACATGTAAAAGTAAGTTGTATATATGAAGCAAAAAATAATGGTATTGATATGGGATACCAGACCACCTGTAGGTGGTCCACGACCTAAAAGCAACCCGAAGTAAGACCAATTGGTCGATCCATGGTCGAAGAACAAGAGACTTGACGTTGCTAGAGTCATAGTCGGTCATGAACTTTATAAGGTCCTGAGCGAAGTGTAATAAATGTTGCTTGGGTTGTATTTTTTCTTTTTCAAAAAAAATTAAGTTCGTAGGAAAAACAAATACTAGCCATAATAAAAATTGTGAAATTTAAAATATAATTATCATTGAATTACATATCTTAAAAATAACAAATGAAAAGGAGAAAGGAAATATTTTATTTCTTAAAAAAAATAAACATTAAAACTCTAAACTTTCTTCTTTACTTTATATATTTTAAATTCATTGGAGTATATAAAAATTAATTAAAATATAATATTTTATTATTCAGAAAAGTAAAAATTTGTCAGCTTTGATATCTAAATAACAACAATAAATTGAAACTCGTCTTAAAATGAGTTGATTGCAATTGACTCTTTCAATGACTATTAGTAACATTATTTAATTGTAAAACGACATTTTGTGTATTCAAGGAAGAAGAGAATTTTTAAAAAACAAATGAAAAAAAATAAGAGAAAGCATGTAAAAACATATTAATTTTACTAATAATAATTACTAATTAATTTTTTCACAAAATTTATCAAATGAGAAAAACAATTGAATACGATTAGTAAAAATAAGAACAAATAGCTATAAAAATATTTTAAATACAATTAATATATATATATATACATATATATATATATATATATACATATATATTAATAATTCATAATAGTGGGTCTTAAGTTAAGGAGGTGCCCAGAGCGGTCGCTCGGCCCACCTACCCCAGAGCCGTCGAGTTAGAGCTCTTGGTTAGCCTGATGGAAACTAGAACTGGGAGTGAAGAGGTCGACTTAGGACCCAAAAGATAGACTTACTCATTGAAGGCGGGAATGATCCATTTCAAGGAAAATTGAGTTGATAGCACAATTATGCTTAAACTAACTACCTTATGAGGTAAGCTAATGTGAACACACCAAGATAGTGAATAAGTACGAATATAGTTAGGATAAGAAGGGCACATTTATAGGCCCATGTGGCTAACAAAATTAGACAGTTTTGGCACTCAGGTAGTTCAGGCACTTGGGCAGCCAGATCGGGCCGATTATGGGCAACAAGGTAACATCTCTATATCGAGGGGTGAGGTATGATCATCACCACAGTACACACTCTGAGCATTCTAGTTGTATTCTCTATATACGACATCTTCCTTAAACACTGGCTAAAGCATCAGAGCTCTACGTCAGGACACCCCTGGCTTTGTTTTGCAGGCCATTTTACTGGTTCGAAAGCAGATCGAAGGACGTTTAATCGAGTCGAGATCGTTTGCAATACCATTTTGCACCGTCTGTGGGACTTTTTGTTAAAAAATCCATATAACACCACATACCATGGGGAATGAAGATCCCAGAAGGAACTTGGAGCCCAATTTTGACGAGACATAGGTCTCTCACTGTTCGATCGGAGCATACCCACCATTGGGCTTTTTGAGGTCTGTTTAGACGCCGATCACCTCGATTCCCTATTCCTCGGGTTGTGGAGGTTCTCCGGCACCTACAACAATGGTTGGTGGCCCGATTACTCAACCATAGAGCAAATCGGGCAAGGATATGGTCCCAACAGCTCTAGCACAACAAAATCAACCTCATGTCGTTGAGAGGAGGTCGTCGGCGGAAGGAGAAGGTGTTTCAACCGGCGTGCTGGTTGTGATGCTCACCAAGTATGAGCTCAACAAAATGATTGTAGATGTTGTTGTAGCCTGTTTAGCTCAACCACAACCACAGGTTTTGAGTGCAGTGAACCTCACTATACCTACAAGGAAGGAGGACTTTGTCATTTCAAGCAACTGAACTTTGGGAGCTCAGCGTGACCTGGCGGGGGAAAGGATGGTGGCTTAGATCCATGCAAACCAAAATAAAGGGGAAGCAATCTTGGAGAGGTCGAGGGCACCCCTTTGCCTAAGTGGTAGTTGATGCGGATTTATCGAGCGGATACAGAGATCTCAATATTACCTATTATGGGTCGACTGACACATTTCATCATTTGCGAAGCTTTAAGAATATGGTTGTTTTGCATGGCTACGCTAATGTGGTGAGGTGTAGAGATTTATTGGAAACCTTACGCGAATGAGCTTAGGACTGGTTTTATCGTCTTGCCCTGCAGTAAAGGTTCATCAGAACGGAACCATGAATCACTGAGGGATTCAGATGCCCAACAGAGTCCTTCTTCTAGCGCCATTTTCTTGACGTGTGTTTTCGTCAAGAGAACCACAAGGCGACGGTCTTGTAATTTTGTTGTATCTTAGTGTTTTAAAATGAATTTTAATGTTATAATAACGGGAACGACCCCTCTTGAGCAAGTGGTTTATCTTTTTGGGCAGTAAGAACTGGCTCAAGGCGATAACTCTTTTTAAATTAGCTCATGATGGAGCTTGTACGGGCTGAGATCAGCTATGATGAATGATTTTGCTTTTGGAAGAGGTCAGCGTGTTTGCCTTGTAGCTTGGAACGAGGTCGGTACATTAGTGGATGATGTCTTCGAGGTTGACATCTTTCTTCTCGGCTAGAGTACTCCTAGCCATTCGGAGTCTAGGGATGTCACATATGGTGATCTGACGATTGCATCATTAATCGTTTTATGGGGCTTGATTTTGCATAGGATAAATTCGTGTATCAACAACTACTAGTACAATACCCGTCTATTACACGGGTGCTTGTTAAAAAATTATTCTTAAATTTAAAATTAATGAGAAGAATCATTTTAAATTTTATTTACTTGTTTACAAAATATATATACTATTCTATATTTTAGAATGACATTTGTTACTTGTGCGACTTACATGTGTTATATTATAGTAATTTTTATAACTTATATCATATAACTACTTGATATATAAATATATTAAATGATAAATAAATTTAATTTGCTAATGAATATTAAAAAATAATTTTATTATTGTTATAAAGATAAATATAATTTATTTTTTTATACATACAATATGGATGTTAAATCAAAACTCATCAAGAGATGATTAATTTGATATATTATATATGTAAAACTGATAAAAAATACAAACGTTATTAATTTTTAAAATAAATTTACAGTTCAATGGTTATAATAAGAAATGATATTAAAATGCAATGAATACATATAACATGACCATAAATAATCAACATATTTATGGATATTCTGGACCTAATTATTTTTGGATATTGGAAGTAAATTAAAATTTTCCCAAACTTAATAACGAAGCGTGTAATTTTGCCAAATAAGATCCCGAAGCATTGAAACCTGCCACTTAGCCTCAACACGTTTTGAATTAATATATAGATGGATGGATATTAATATTGGTGCAGTTATAGTGATACCAAATTATAATAGAATTAATTACCTACAATTCTATATTTTATTCACTTCAAGAGAATTATTAACTACAATTAGTTCAAGTTTATCCACTTCAAGAGAAGTGAATATGCAGAGTTGCAGACGGTCAAATTTTAAAATTTTGGCAATCATTACTTTTCCTACTATATTCTAGATTTTCAAACTCATTTTGGAATTAAGTAAATTGATGGTGAAGAATAAATATGAATGGAATTATTCTAAATCAGTCATTCGTATTAAAAGTAATATCATTACATTTCAATTCAAAGCTGAAAATTCGGATAATTGAAGTCAAAATTGTTTAATTTACATGACTATTATTGATTAACTGAATCTGCTATAATATATTCACCGAGTATTTGTGAAATTTTCCATATACAATTTCATATCTATAATTAAACTCACATTTGCTTCTATAAATTATATATATAACGCTGACTTTCATGTATGACGATCAATACCAAATAAACTTGTACAAGCTTTTTCCATCTATATATGAGCAATGGGAAACCTTAGTACTATCATCCCCTTGTTGTTCATTATCATATGAGCTAACCATCTCCAAGCAATTATAACTCAAGAAAAACGCCAACTGTTTCCTCACTCGCAAATTCACGATTCATATGACCAATAAGTTTCCTCCGCAATTGACCCCTTTCAAGTTGATGACGACTTAGGTTTTCACACACTTTCTTCGAATCAAAACTTTAGTTGGGGCTTCTGTGAGAATCTTGTTCGCAACACTTTATTCTTCTGCCATCTTTGGTGGGAGTCAAAAGAAATCGAATTCGAAGCATTTAATTCTAACTATCACACAGGGTGTATACCTGATGGCTCCGAATGCTTTTGGGAAGTAAGGTCTGACGGTCTTCATAGACTCTTTTATGATGGCGGTGGCGGTTACGGAAAATGGAGTAACTGGGGTCTGGGAAGACAAAAAGTGAGTACGTCGGATTAAATTATTCGTTTACATGGACGAGTAAAAATCGATGTGTATCATCTTTTGGAATCGTGTAATTTTAATGGGATCCCTAAATTGTTCGTAAATTTGGCTTAGATTAATGTGGATTTTCTTTTCCAAACGGCAACATAAAATATAATATTGATACTCAAAATTTCCCGACCTGAAGAATGGGTAGAGGGGAAAGGGGGAGGGCTAGATGATATAGCACTCGTAGTAGCTCAGAGAACCAACCAAGAGTGGTTAGCATGGTCCAAGTAGGTTCACGAGAGTTCGACTTGATCCCATGTACGCATATGGTAAGAGATCGCTCAAAGACCTCGATAAGTAGGTAAGACCGCAAGGGGTAACTTGTAGGTCGAAGAACCTACGGAGCTTGGATACTCGGAAAAAACTTGTGGTTCGTAGGTCATGGTTATGACCTGGGTATGGACCATTGCTGGAACATATGGAGGTCGTGGTTGCGACCCGGATACGAACCATTACGAGAAAATGCGGAGGTCGTGGTTGTGAGCTCCGAACCTGAGAGCCGTGTCATGTAAGGGAAATGACTCCTTCTGGAATACAAAGTGTGTTTTATCCAAAAGACTAAAAGTTCTTAGAGGCGTGATGGGTTAGAAAAGTAGATCCGCGATGATCTCTTTTCTAACCAAGATTTTCTTGGAGGACAAGTTACCCTAAGTATTTAAGGGTAAACCATGTTTACAAATCACACATTACATACGCATTTACAAGACAATTTTTCATATGCTCCCTCAAGCAAAATCTTAACTTGAGCGTCGAAGTGTTTATGTCAGATCCCTCCTAGCGCTTTGCAAGTCATCGGAGAATCAAGCTGGTGGAAGCATGTGGAGGTTGTGATAAAACCCGGTTCCAAACTCATTGCACATCAGATTACATAATACTCGGCCTCCTATTATTTTTATTTGTTATTTTGGCTTTGTTGATCATTAATTAAATAAATAATATTTTGAATATTTTATACATATTTTTTCAATGTTATCCTCATTTAATTAGTACACTATATGTTTTTGGAGGCAAATTGTGGAAGACGATAAGTTTTCTCTCTGAAAAGAACATAAAAAAGCTAAAAAGAAATAAATTATTTAATGTTCATCTGCTTTAAATAAGACTAATATTAACAAGAAAATATTTCTTAGTTTACATGTTAAAGCACAAAATGACATTTAAAAAGAAAACGAGGTAAGTAATACTGATTACGAAAAATAAGAGATTAAATTGATTTTTATATTAAATAATTGTGATATATGATATCTCAACTTATGATGTAATTTCATCATAAAATTAATACTCGTTAGACGTTTAGTAAAAATGTACTCGGCTAATGAGGTTTTACAACATGTTAAAAGAAGTTTATCGCATATAAGAAATTGTTCAATAAAACATAATCATCTCTCTATATGATAACAATTTATCTTTTAATTTTATTTTGTTAGTTCTCGTTTATATGCACGAATAACAGTACTAATATAATAAAATGAGGGCAATGCAACATGTATAATTATAGTTGATAACATTAGTTAAAATCTCTATTAAGTTAAATCTTAGTCATATATTTATTTGCACCTCAATCATCCACGTTATATCATATGTTGTCGAAAAAAGTTGTACTGAGTTTTCCATAAAATGATCCTCATACACTTGCCATAAATACACACAACTGCATTCTTTTGTAAAATAATGATTTCTAAAATCAACAAATTATATTATTGCTGTATCAAACTTTAAAAGTAGCCTCTCCATCAATAGTTATGTCTTGAAATTACAACACTTTTACAAAGCTATTAATGCAAGACGCAGCATGATGTGAAATTGAAATGACCAAGGAAGCTCTATCCACAATTGAGCTTCCAAACACGTCCTTGCAATCATGACAAAATAGTGACATGTCACTGGATAAGGATAAAAGAAAAGGGCATTCATGTCATTCAATTACTATATCCGTAAATATAGAGGTTAGGCTAAAATTTTATTTGATGTCAATTTCGGTAACTTATAAATTATATATATTTTAATTTTAATAATTATATTTATTATTAATTTTGTAATATATAAAACTATCCGTCTTTTTATGATTTTCTATTTAACATTAATACTAATATCTGAATAAAACTAAATTTATATATTTTTATAAATATAAAAGTTAAATTATATTTTTTATCAAAATAAGTAACTTTATGTGTTAAGCTTATTACATAATAAATAGAAATATTATAGTATATCATTTTAAATGAAAAATAGTAATTCAATATTCCGTGAATATTCAATAATTTAAAACAACGAATTATATTTTTATTTTTGCATTCTAATTTTTTTAATCAATACTAGTATGTTGTATTGTTACTTGTTATAACTAAATTGAGGGTATATATTATTAAATGAATATTTCTCTTATCCTGTTTTATCTGATGGATAACCGATAAATTCTACGCTGAAACATCTCTATTTATTTACTGTTGTTTGTTCTTCACTACTCACCACCACCATACCTTTCAGATTCCTCAGATTTGCTTGCAACTTGCAATATTTACAGAACTCCCTCATCCAGAAAATTATATGCCTCATAAAATCATACTCTATTTAGCAGCTGAATCAAAATTTCATCCATTTGTGTCGCAAAATACACACTTCCCATGGAACCCAGCTGGCCCATTCAGCTGAAACAGTGTCGGTTTGTTGTTGGATTATTTATGTCGTTCTGATTGGTTGGTATTAAGGGCTGATTGTTATTTTTATTAGCAGGTTTTGTTCTTGGATTTTTTAATTGAATTTGTACTGGAAAAAAGTGAGTTTGTTCGTATGAGTTGTGATTGAGCTAGGGTTTTGAGTGATGGTGGTGACAGGAAATGATCCGTTGGAATCGTTTTTGAAATCGATTCAGGTGGTGAGAAATGCATTTTCTCCCATAGAATTGAATTTTCAGAAGGCGGCGAAGAATTTTGAGCATTGTTTCAATGGATCCTCGAAAAATGACAACTTGAATTGCAGGGTGAATGATGATGCTAGTAATGAGCAAGTGGCGGCTCAATTGAAATCGAAGATGAGTGGTCAACAGGCTGTCGCCAGTGGTCGTGATCGGAAAAAACCGAAAGTTCTTCCTGTAAAATTTGTTGTTGGTATATTTACCGAAAAAGGGGAAAATGATATTCATAGAAACTTGCATGCTAGACGTGATGGGACAGAGAGTACGTGTGTTAATTTGCTGAAGAAAGGGATGAAACAGAGGTCTGAGAATGATTGTGCGAAACAGAATAAGAACTCTTATGGGAATTGCTTGCTTTTTGACATGGCACTATCACATTTGATCAATGGTTTTTTACAGGCCTTCCCAAGACCATTCAAGTCCGAGAAAAAGGGGTTGCAGAAGATGACTGACAAGGAAAATCTTGGTAGTAAAGGCTCACATTTTAGTATACAACCAAAATTGGTGAGGGTTGGTGAAAGTATACAGGAGGTGAAGGCTAGAGAAGGCAAAGACTTGTCTTTTGAGTATGTCATAGGGTTTGTGGTTGATCAAATTAACCATTTGCCGAAATTTGATGTGGGTTTTCAAGAAAATGAGTGTAACAATGCTGAATGTAAACCATTTAATCAATTTGACCATTTCAAAGCACTTGTCAGTATTTTGGAAGGAAAAAGAGCAGATGTGAATGGATTCCTTGGTAATTTGAAGTTTGCACGTGTGGGAGGAGTACCATCGAGTGTTGTTGAAGTGCCATCTGTGAAAGATGAGGGAGCTAATGATACTGTTAATCAGGAAGAAAGTGGCGGAGGCAATTCCTCTAAAAAAATGGCCAATGGATTGCTTAGTATTCCATTGTCCAATGTCGAGCGTTTGAGGTCTACCCTTTCAACTGTCTCATTGGCTGAATTGATTGAGCTTTTACCACAGATTGGGAGATCTTCAAAAGAAGAACATCCTGACAAGAAGAAACTGTTTTCTGTACAGGACTTCTTTAGATATACAGAAGCTGAAGGTATGTTTTTCACTAAAAAATTTGATTTACTGATAGTGTTTGATGATATTACAAGTATATGTAAGTATTTTGTTGGAATAAAGAAATTTGAATGGTTCTGCTATAAAATGTTATCTGAGATCGTCTTTCATATGATAATTGTGATGATATGGTCAGCTATGAAATTTGTGTATGTGGCTTTCCAGTTTCATATTTGGCGGGAGTTGGGGTGGCGGGGCAGGGGAGGAAGGGGGAGGGGTGCTGTGCTGAGATCCCTTTTATATATTGCAATTAACAGGGAGCAAAAGCTTTAAAGTGAGAGACCTGCATATATTCACTTATGAACAATTTTGTGATTGGGACAATGATCCAGAAAGCCTAACCTTGTGCTATTGAAAGAGTGTTAAGGAAACTGTTTCTTGCATGTTGAAGAAGTTTGATAATTGTTACTTATTCATATTAGCAATTTATAGGCATTAGCTTAGGGCATGCTTGTTTATAAATTATTTCACTCTCAATTCAAAATCTAAATCAACTTTAACTCAACCTCACTATCCTTAATATTATTCATATAATTAAATAATACAAACTAATCATTCTTACACATCACATCAACTTTAATTCACTATTCATCCTCTCACATAATTTTAACTACCTATCATTTCCAGTCATTTTCAATCATTTATCTCTTTCTTTTACATCAAATCAATTTTAATCATTTTATTTTAAATATTATTTATTTTAATACATTCTTAAAATCCCACTAACAACTAACCATACCACATTTTTCAAAATTAATTCTGGTTGACCAAAAATACTCATTTTGAACGGATTATTTAGTAAACAAGTGCGCCCTTAACTTAGTGCAGAAGCTAGCATGGAACTTGTCAAGTCAATTTGGTGCCTGATCACTTCTAATTAGTCCCATGAGCGTGGATTTTATTTTAATTAGTTTGACTGAGAATTTCTTCATTCACATATTTTCCTGCTAGTAGTAAACATGGATGATTTGTTTGGGTCTATAATGTGCAAAGTCTTACATGTAAATTGGCTCGTGTGATTGTCATTCAGAGAGTGTTCAACCTTCATCTTTCCTAATTTGGAGTATTGGTTATCAATTTCATCTGACTTTTCTATTTATTGATTTCTTATTTCAATCAATGAGATTGTGATATAATTCTATTCCTTGTGTGCAGGAAGGAGATTTTTTCTCGAGCTGGACAGAGATGGTGATGGACAAGTCACTCTGGAGGATCTAGAAGTTGCCATGAGAAGGAGGAAACTTCCTAAAAGATATGCTCATGAATTTATGCGGCGTACAAGGAGTCATTTGTTTTCGAAGTCTTTTGGCTGGAAACAGTTCTTGTCCTTGATGGAACAGAAAGAACCAACAATCCTTCGAGCATATACGAGCCTCTGTCTGAGCAAGTCTGGGACACTACAGAAGAGTGAAATCTTGGCATCCCTGAAAAATGCTGGCCTTCCTGCTAATGAAGATAATGCTGTTGCAATGATGCGTTTTCTGAATGCCGATGCGGAGGAATCTATATCATATGGGCATTTCCGGAATTTCATGTTATTGCTCCCTTCAGACAGACTTCAAGAAGATCCAAGGTGAATAAGATTTCTCCTTGGGGTAGCCATCAGTTGAAGCGTGCTGTGAATACGGACATTATACTGGACTTTTTTTTCCTTATACAATTATTTTATTTGAAGTCTTAATAAACTCACAGGGTTCTACAAAGAATTGCTGGTCATTGTTGAAAATATTTTTGGCTGAAGGTTTAGATGAAGTGATTAAGTCTCGATATTATCTCTAGGAACCTTTTTTTCCCTCCATTTGAGTTTATGATTTCATTCTCAATTTGTCAAGTCAATTAATGCCTCATCACTTTTTATATATAATGGATTTAGATATAATGCTTGTTGACATCTTGTCATATCAACTCTCAATAGCAACTTATTTCATACATTTTGGACTTACAGAAGTATCTGGTTTGAAGCTGCGACTGTGGTTGCTGTTCCCCCACCTGTGGGAATACCGACTGGCAGTGTTCTAAAATCAGCATTGGTTGGTGGTCTTTCTTGTGCATTGTCTACATCCTTATTGCATCCTGTTGACACTGTTAAGGTAAGGCTTTCTCGTGAGTCAAATACATATGTGTGTAACGGATGCTTACTTTCACCTCATTCTTTCTATAATTTGATGCCTTTTATTAGGTAATGTTTGGGAATTCCACTGACACTGATTTGATGAATATTTGCTGATTAAGTGATGACATGCTGATATGTACATGTTTTCTGGTTGGTTATTCATGATTTTTCTGGTTTTAGGATTTGGCTTAAAAGGGGAATTTCATATTTTGCTACTTATATAAATAATTAGCCGTGGTAGTACTTGTCGCTTTGAACTTCTACCTGTCCAGCTAGGTTAATGAATTGGGTGTCTTTGCTCTAATATGATATAGCCGAATGGTCTAGTACTCCAATATATTCTTTTTCAAGTGTGAAACCAGCTGACTCAATATTTTTTAAAATAGTGATTCCCAGTTCTTGAGCAGCGTGACTATGCTTCTTCAGAAACTTTTTGACAGAGTTGTGATTATTATTCAAAAGCAAGTACGAGTTGGTTTGCTAATAATACAATTCTGGTGCTGATGGGATTAGATTCTTAATGAAGAGTTTAGAGAAATGATATGTATATATTTCCTTGAACTTGACTGCTTCAGCGTCAAACACTCAGAATTCAATGGTTTTTCAATTGGGTTTTTCAGTTTTAAGATTCAGGGTTTGACACAAGCCAAAATGAGGAGGCATTATACCATTTTGGAGAACAAAATTAATACTATGGGCAGTTTTGTTTTTGCGCTTTTCTTGGATGGCTAACTAGTTTTGTCTGTGCGCTTTACGTTGTTAGTGTGCACCGCTGAGACTCTAACTTTTTCCCTCGAAATTGTGCCTCCATTGTTAATCTGTTAGTTGTATAATGATTATATTTATTCTTAATTAGTGTACACAATACATATTCTGGAGGTAACATGAGCATTTTTTCCCCAAAATAAAACTGATCTTTGTCTTTATAGAGGTTAATCTTTGGTGAATAGTTTCTGGAAAATCCTCTGGGATAAAACAATGGAAATTGTTGTGGATTACGTGTCTTTTGCAGCGGTTTTCTTATTTCGAAGTCTCAGGTGGGAATCTGATTATTGTCAACTGGTTTGTCTGTAGACAAGGCTACAAGCTTCAACCCTCACCTTTCCAGAGATCATATCCAAGCTTCGTCAACTTGGAGTTCGTGGATTCTATAGAGGGTCAATTCCAGCTATACTAGGGCAATTCTCAAGGTATGATAAGATTCTCCACTCTTTTTTGTTTTAAAATGATTACTTTTCAGGATTTTAATTGGATGAATGATGCAGTCATGGTCTCCGAACTGGAATTTTTGAAGCAAGCAAACTGGTGTTGGTCAATGTGGCCCCCGGTCTTCCAGAATTACAGGTTAGGGCCATGACGTTGTACCTTGTTGACCATTTTATTCCTTTCTTTCGGTACTTTGCATTATTTCCCGTTGCACTGTTGGGTTTGTTTAGTCTATTGTGACAGCATAAAAAGGTAGAAGCTGTTCTATCCATCTTCTTTGCCCTTGATTGTAACTAACATCATGAACTACTTATTCATAGAGCAGAACTTCACATATTCCTAAGCCAACGCTTATTACAATGTTAAATCCCTCTTATTCATAGTTGAGAAAATTCTCTCTCTCTCTCTCTCTCTCTCCCCCCTTAATTCTAATGGCATATGTTTGTTTCATTTCATCCCTGGGAATAGTGTAGTTAGTAAAAAATAACTTCTCCATCTCCCGGACAAATGAAACTGAATGCAGCTGTAACCCATGTTTTATATACAGTACATGCTGTTAAGATAGTGCTTCATGTTCCCATCTGTAACAGAATCTAGTACTGCAATTTTCACCATCAAATAGAGAGATGCTTATTAATGCCCACACCACACATGATGTTTCAGGTTCAATCAGTGGCTTCATTCTGCAGCACATTTCTTGGGACGGCAGTCCGTATCCCGTGCGAGGTGTTGAAGCAAAGATTGCAGGCTGGTTTATTTGACAATGTTGGTGAAGCCATTGTCGGGACTTGGCAGCAAGATGGCCTTCGGGGCTTTTTCCGTGGGACCGGTGCCACCCTTTGCCGTGAAGTCCCATTCTATGTAGCTGGTATGGGCCTCTATGCTGAATCTAAGAAGGTAATGAATGAATGGCAAGCTTTCTGATTTGTCGAGATTATTTATCCTCTTTCTTTAGTTATTGTCATATGTGCGGAGATTTATGAAGTATTTGCTGTGTTGATTAAAAAAAAAAAAATTAAAAAATCCCCCCCATCAAAGCCAGTCTTGTCAAAATTGCAAGGCTTGCTTGCCCGGATTGATTAATGTGTTCATATTAATGTCTTAATCTTAAAACATTCATCAAGTATGTTGAAGTTGATATGATTATCTGCAACTTACCAAATAAGTCGTAACTGGGTCTGGCTTTCACGGGGTTTTTTGGGTTTCCTTCTCTTTGTTTGCTGACTTATGAGTTGATACCAAAGGTGGATTGCGGAGTTTATGTAACGGAACATTAACACCATGTCAATATGTCATTCCTGCACCAATCAATGGAACATTAACACCATCCCCTTTCTGATTTTCTCCTAAGATTACCAAAAAGCTCAATCATCTTACCAAACTGTATATTCACTCCATGCATGATGCGATTTTTTCTCAAATAAGTACAAGCCTCAAGGTAATGCTTGATGTTGATATAAGTTATTTCCAAAAATAATTGGATTTTAATTTTGCTATTATTAAGCGACACATGAAATGTAGTTTCTGAATATTTATTGCTTCTCTAATGTACATTAACTGAAGTAATATTTCAGGCTACCCAGCAGCTTCTGGGACGTGAGCTAGAGCCTTGGGAGACTATTGCTGTGGGGGCTTTATCAGGCGGGCTAGCGGCCGTGTTAACAACTCCGTTTGATGTAATAAAGACGAGGACTATGACGGCCCCACAAGGTCGCCCGGTGACTTTGTCAATTGTGGCCTTCTCCATTTTACGTCACGAGGGACCTCTTGGGTTATTTAAAGGAGCCTTGCCTCGTTTTTTCTGGATAGCGCCACTTGGCGCCATGAATTTCGCAGGCTATGAGCTTGCAAGGAAGGCTATGGACAAAAACGAGGACAATAATAATGGCAGCGAAGCCCTTGTGCAGAAATAGATTTGGCGCGCAGCCTTCCTTATTTTCTCTGAGCTGACGCCATTTTAAGGAGAGAAATTTTGTGGCTTCTTAGTTCTCTTTTAGAAGATACAATAGTTGTTCATTTTTAGAATCTATTCGTCGAAAGTTCCGGTACTGTGGCTTGTTGATTTTGAAGTGTCTCTTCGAAACGGATTTGATGCTGGAAAGCTTGTGCATGGAATTTTATTTTATTTTATTTTTAACACAAGTTTGTTGGTGTTTTCGTCATTCTTGTATCACGATTTCATGATGCCATCTGTAACTTTCAGTAATGAGTAATCCCTCTACTATAAAAATTTCCCTTGTAATTTAAAATAGTAGAATTACAATTTAATGGTCAAATCTTCAGTAATCTAGTATTATTAAGTTTTTATATAAATATATATGTTGTTTTCTTTCTCTCTTTCTACAGTTAATAGCACATTCAAATATACCTCCATTTTGCATAGAATTATACTGCAATTTGCAGAGCAACTCCATTTATATTCAAAACATCAAGGTGATTGACTAAAGACCCATTTCGTTTAAAGGAGATAGTACTGTAACTAAATAAATCACTTCCGATCCGAAAAGATGTTTATTTACGCCTCTTATGTTACATATTACAAGTATTGCCCGCAAATTACACACAATATACTTCCAACAAGTTGATCTATGATTTACTCCCATATTTACCCACAATACAAGCTATTAACCAAACTCCCAACTCCCCACACACCACAGAAAGAACATATACATAGGTTAATCCTTACAAANAAAAAAAAAAAAAATAATGAAAATTAACTACAAAAGCCCTATAACAGGCGAATGTGCAAATATCAACTTCTCCTTATTTGCACCATAACCCCAGCTCTGGGAAATGCTCTTTCTCCTCGGCTTTGCCTCTCCCAGCATCGTAACAATATCCCTCATCGATGGCCGGTCCTTGGGGAGCTTAGCCGTGCACAAGAGTGCAATCTTTAGCACAAGACTCATCTCCTCTTGCACGTGCTTGCATTGTCCTGCAATATCTGGGTCAAGTACAGACGTAGTCTCGTTTATTCTCATCCGCACCCACTCCACAATGTCGATCGACTCACCAAAACAAGGGTCTAACGCCATTTTACCCGTCACCAGCTCCAGAAGTACTACCCCAAAGCTGTATATGTCGCTCTTTTCATCTACTTTCAATGTGTACCCATATTCTGCACCACCAAAAACTAAACTTTTTAGTACAAGTACAATATTTTCGTTTTCTATTTTTGGCTCTGGAAATTAAAAATAAATAAATAATACAGTCCCCGTCACGACATGATTCCATCTGTATATTTTAACCATGAGTTATCTACTCTGCACTAATCTACATGTGTATGTAAAGGCTAGTAGGTAGGTAGGTACCTGGTGCTATGTACCCATATGACCCGGCTATCATCGACACAGTCTCGTTCTTACGCGCCATCGTCCTAGCAAGCCCAAAATCCGCAATCCTTGCCTCGAAATCCTCGTCAAGCAATATATTATTCGACTTCACGTCCCTATGAATAACCGGGGGACGACAATCATGGTGTAGATAAGCAAGCCCTTGAGCCACGCCTTGCGCCACATTATACCTCGAAACCCAATCCACGAGCACTTTTCCCGCCTGTTTTCCGTGCAAGGCCGACCCGAGGCTCCCGTTAGGCATATACTCGTAAACCATCATAATATCCGTCTCGTTATGAAGGTACCCGAAAAGCCTCACAATATTCCTATGTCTCAACTTCCCCAAAATGTCCACCTCAGCAAATAGCTCGTCCCCTGTCTCGACCGACGACGATCTCCACAGCTTCTTGACTGCAACAGTCGTTCTCGGCCGTTGGATCTCTGCTCGGTAAACGACTCCATTCCCGCCTACTCCAATCACGTTCGACTCTTTTAAACACGTCAAAATCTCATTGCTCGTGAAATTGAGCCTCTGAAAGGCAACAAGCCTCCACGGCCAATCGGGGGAGTTCTTCTTCTTCTTCTTCAACCAGTCCGTGCAGATGTACCACTTTTTGTACACCTGTCGCCCAGCGAAAATCATGAGCCCTGCAGACAAAATTACTGAAACGCCCACGGCAAACCCCATGGCTATGTGATTCGTGTGGGCCTTCTTGGGCTGAGGCCCACCAGCGAAGTTAGCTGGGCAAGGCGGGAGTATGGCCCCACAAAGACCAGCATTGCCTATGAGCTCGTCCGGGTTTATAGTGGTTAAGATGCCCTTGTCCGGAACGCGGCCAGTGAGCTTATTGTGGGACAAATTCAGCATCTCAAGAGCTGGGGAGTTTCCGAAAGTGTCGGGTATTTTACCCATAAGAAAGTTGTTCGACAGGTCGAGAATGGATAGAGTCGGCATATTGGCTAAGGCTCGTGGGATCTCGCCGGTGAACTGATTGTTAGCGAGATTTAAGGTTACTAATTTCTTGCAAGAAGCAATGCTGTGAGGAATGTTGCCCGAGAAATTGTTGTGAGAGAGATCGAGCATGTAAAGGGAAGGGCATTCTTGGAATTGATCCGGTAAGTTTCCGCGGAGGTTGTTACCGGAGGCATTGAATGTTTGGAGGGTAGAAACGGAAAAAATGCCCGAGGGCAAGGACGAAACCAAGCGGTTTTTGGATATGTCGATGAATGAAAGCGAAGTGGAAAGAGTGAAATCTCGAGGAATTTCACCGCTAAAGTTGTTATTACCTAATTCGAGCCTCTCGAGCTTCGGAAGTGTGCCGAGGCCGAACGGGATGGAGCCAGAAAAGCTGTTGTTTTGGATTCTAACGCGAACTAAGGATGAACAATTGGAAAGGCTTGTAGGAAAAGGACCTGAAAAATAGTTATTAAAAAGTATGAGTTTTGTGAGGTTACCCGAGGAGCAAATTCCGGGAGGGATTTCGCCGGAAAGTGAATTTGTTGACACATCTAACCATTGCAAAGGCGAGTTTTTTCCTAAGTTCGCCGGCAAATGCCCTGTTAAGGAATTTTGCCACAACGCGAGAATTTCGAGCCTTTTCAACTCTCCGATCTTTTCTGGAATCCGACCACTCAGATTGTTACACATAAGATTCAACAGCTGGAGATTTTTCAATTCCGCCAGCTCGTTCGGTATTTCACCGGAAATTCGGTTGTCCGAGAGATCCAAATACTCTAACGACGTCAAATTTCCGAATTCCGGCGGGATTTTCCCTCCAAATTCATTTTGGTACAAATATATAGTTGTCAAGTTTTTCAACTTACCTAGCTCAGGTGGCATTCGACCACTCAAAGTCCCAACAGCCAAATCGAGATACCTAAGATTACTTAAGTTACCAAACTCGGCTGGAATTGGACCTTCAAACTGATTGTACCCTATAATCATCGTCTCCAAAGACGACAGCTGGCCGAGCTCGACCGGAATTCTCCCGGTGAGATTATTACCGGACAAACCAAGAAACCTCAACTTTCGCAAGCTCTTGAAAGATTTCGGTATTGGGCCCTCGAAAAAGCTTCCCCTGAAATCGAGGCTCTCGAGCGAGGACGAAAGCCCGAGATCTTCCGGAAGCGGGCCCTCGAAATTGTTGCTGGAGGCATTGATGCTGACTAGGCCTGGGAATCTTCCGAGGCCGGCCGGAAAATTGCCGAAAAAGTTGTTCTGGCTGACGTCAAGAATTTCCAATGACGTCAGATTTTGAATTTCTTGGGACACGTGGCCGCTGATGTTCATGTTCGATAAGTCGAGCTTTATGACGTGGCCTCTGGAGTTGCAAGAAATGGCTGTCCAGTTGCAGAAAACGGCGTCGTCGGTTGAAAATTTCCAGTCGTTTAAGCGATTGTGAGGGTCGGCTAATTTTGATTTGATAGCTAATAGAGCTGTTAATTCGGAATGGATAGGAGGATTTGGAGTTGTTCCAATGGCGAAAACAGGATGCAAACCAATGGAACAGTAGAGGAACAAGTAAAAAATGTGATTTTTCATTTTTTTTTTTTTTTGGTT